AAATAGCCTTCTTGCTTGAATTGACCTCCGGACAGCTCAAATCTATCCAAATTAATTGTACAACTTCATTAAAATGCATCGGGAATAATTCCGGATAATAATACGTCGACTTAAAATTTTATTCCAAAAAGTCAACAAAAGTCAACGCGGGGCTCGCCCCTCGGAACCCGATATAATTTTCATAAAATCCAAATACCCATTCTTGTACGAGTTCAACCATACCAAATTTATCGAATTCCAATAACAACTCGACATCCAAATCTTAAATTTTTATTTTTGGAAGATTTTACAAATATCTTGATTTTCCTCCATTTAATTCCGAATTAAATGATGGATTCAAAGGCATAATCATGGAAATTAATTAAAACTGGATAAGAATCACTTACCCCAAACACCCACGCAAGAATCTCTCCAAAAATCGCCTTCTACCGAGCTCCCAATTTGATTTTGTGTTATGAACTCAAACCTCCATTTTTGGGACTTTTAATTCTGCCCGGATAGGCCTTCTTCGTGTTCGCGACATCTGTCTCGCGTTCGCGAAGGCCAAAAACTCAGTTGTCTCAAATTCTTCTTCGCGTTCGCGTTACTAGCGATGCGTTCACGATGGCCTGCCCATGCATTGAATCGCTTTCGCATTCAAGCTCTCGCGTTCGCGATGACCTCAAGTCCTACTGCTTCGCGTTCGCGATTGAAGCTTCGCATTCGCGAAGGCTAATGACTCCAGGCCCAGTCCCCTCCTTCCTTCTACGCGTTCACGACTGGTCCCTCACGTTAACGTAAGTTCTTCAGACATACCTTCGCGTTCGCGAACCATCCTTCGCGTTTGCGAAGGCCAAATCCCAGCAGCCTCAAAATTCTTCTTCGCGAACGCGAGACACTCTTCGTGTTCGCGAAGAAGGAAACTAGATACTAGATACAGCAGTTCCGAAACAGCCCGAAATGATCCGAAACCACCCCGAAACACACCCGAGGCCCCCGGGACCCCATCCAATCATACCAACCAGTCCCATAACATAACATAAATTTGCTCGAGACCTCAAATCATATCAAACAACATCAAATTTATGAATCGCACCCCAATTCAAGCTTAATGAACTTTGAAACTTCAACTTCTACAATCGGTGCCGAAACATATCAAATCACATCTGATTGTCCTCAAATTTTGCACACAAGTCATAATTTACAATACGAACCTACTCCAACTTCCGGAATCGGATTCTGACCACGATATCAAAAAGTCCACTTCCGGTCCAAATCTCCAAAAATTTCACTTTCGCCATTTCAAGCCTAAATCAGCTACAGACCTCAGATTCACAGTCCGGACACGCTCCTAAGTCCAAAATCACCCAACGGAGTTAACGGACCGACGGAACTCCATTCCGGAGTCGTCTTCACACAGTTCTGACTACAGTCAAAATCTTAAGACTTAAGCTTCCGTTTTAGGGACTAAGTGTCCCAAATCACTCTGAATCATCCGGTAACTGAATTCAACTATGCACGCAAGTCAATACACATAATACGAAGCTGTGCAGGGCCTTATACCGTCGAATGGGACTTAAATTCTCAAAACAATCGATCGGGTCGTTACATTCTCCACCTCTTAAACAGACGTTCGTCCTCGAACGTGCTAAGAATTATTCTGAGGTTACCAAATTGATGATTTTACTTTTACACATATACTCACGGTTGATCCCACATTACCGCATTTGAGATAAGACCAACAACACTATCTCATTTGAGATTATTTCTTTTATCCATATTTGTAAACTTTAAGACCAATTTCTTACACTCCAAACATTTTTAAAGGCCTGATTTTCACAACAACGCATGGTATTAGTCTCAACTGGCTATAGAAACTCGTGCCTACGCACACATCAACTTTCTTGATAGTGTTGAAGTACTTCAAAAACTTTTCTAGGGTGTTTCATTCTTCCCCGCTTAGAATCATTCGCCCTTGATCACATAACATAACTTTTCTCTTCTTTGGCACATATCAATCTTCCAAATTTTTCTAATTCCCAAATTTTTCAGAAATTTCGGCAGAGTTTCCCCTGTAAACGGGCCTATCCACCTGCCAGAGTAACACCAAAATAACTCCTAACAAGGTATATATCAATAACACTAATCTCGGCATTACGAGCATTGCATTATCATAATGATATCAAGACATGAAGCACATCATATGTATGCTCATCACCACATCTCTGGTCTTAAAAGCTGTTCAAAATTAATTCCCGCATCATCAATTAATCTCATATTAACCACCACCTCATTTCGAAATTTCACAACACTGACAACAGAATGTGAGGCATGAATACCTCATGATTACTTACTCGGATTAATGAGTCACATTTAACGCCACCTGGACACTCACCTCATAGGCTAAAACTCAATGTTTACAGCACGATAATGGCTGAATATGAATAGAAAAATATACAAGAATTATCAAATAAGCCTAATAGGCATGACTCCCTATTAATACTACCGTACAAATTAAATTTCACAAAGGGAGAATTTAAACTCATAAATATTTCACCACAAGAACCTCGTCCTTATATAACTTCTACCGCGACTTGTAGCCCGGTTTAAATATTTCACATCATATATAAAATGCGAGGATCTCGTCCTCAACTCTGAATCACAAGTATTTGCACATTGTGGCAACTGAAATTCAATTTCCTTTCTTTCTTCTTTTTAATAAATTTCATAAATATTTTTCATAACACGTAACGGACCCTCATACCGGTAGGGCATATAATTCATAAAAAANTCTTCTGTTCAATATATTCATAAATAGTTTTCACAACACATAATGAACCCTCATACTGGTAGGGCATATAATTCATAAAAATTAGAATCAATTATTCCGAAACATATTAAACCCATTGTGATGAATAATAAAAATTACTTTTGGACTTATAGCCCTCAATGGTGCACAAAAATAAAAATGACAGACACGGGCTCACATCCTCAATTCTCCCAACATGGATAACATATAAGTGGGTCACAAAATTACGAAGCTCGCCCATAAGCGGCGCATAATAGGACTCACCTCAATATTCAGATCTGAATCAAATTAAGGGAAAATATTCTTTTATAACAAATCGGGATCGTACCTGTAACGACACCATCTGGTTAATCAGCCTCAACCAAATCTTAGCGATTATATCAATGGGCCGGGCCTCCACCTCTTAGGCACCCTCTACCCGCCTGTCCTCCACCCCTAACTGGTTGTGCACGTGGGGTAGTAGCTGCAATGGGACCCATAGTCTGAGTGTTCTGATAAAATCCACCCCTCCCAAGTCTGGGACAATCTCTCATGATATGCCTAGTATCACTATACTCATAACAACCCATCTGAGGTTGCGGCTGCTCGTACTGAGTCTATGCCGGATAACTGGAATAACCATTGTAAGAATCTCGTGTCGATGGTGCACTATAAACTGGAGCACCCCGAGTAATATTATGTGCATACTGAGCTAACCGATTGCTCGAGCCTCCGCTATAATGGGTCCTAACTGAAGAGTAAAATCCACTGAACCCTCCAGATCTTCGAGACCTTTTGGCCTCCTTAGACTCCCTTTCCTCGCCTAAAACATCCTCAATCTTCCTTGCAACCTCCACTACTTGTTGAAATGGAGTATCAGTTTGCAACTCTCGAGCCATGCATATTTTAATATCATAATCGAGCCCCTCAATAAATCTGCGGACCCGCTCTCTGATTGTAGGAACCAGGATAGGTGCATGACAGGCTAACTCACTGAACCTGATAGCATATTCTGACACTGTCATAGTGCCCTGATGCAACCGTTCAAACTCTGTGCGCCTCGCATCTCTAAGAGTCTAGAGAACAAACTCTTTCAAGAACATTTCCGAAAATTGAGCGCAAGTTGGCCGTGTTGCATCGGCTGGTCTACCTTCTTCATAGATTTGCCACCACCGATACGCTGCGCCTGACAGTTGAAATATAGTAAAGGTAACTCTGCTCACTTCTACATTAGCCATGATACGGAGAATATGGTGACAATTTTTTAGAAATTCTTAGGCATCCTCTGTATCTGTGCCACTGAAAGTAGGAGGACTATACCTCTTAAACCTTTCAAGTCTCTTTTGTTCTTCTTCTGATGCCTCTGGCCAGACCTCAGGCTGAACCGAAATAATAGGTTGTACCGGTACTACACCCGGAATCTGACCAACGTGAACCTGCTACTCTGGAGTTGTGGTAGGAGTCTGATCTACTCCCCCAATCCGCAAAATATTCGGTGCAACAGAAACTAATCCCGCCTGAGTTAATATACCAAACATACTCAGGAAATGTGCTAAAGTCTCCTAAATTTGGGGGGTAAGAACAGGTGTTTCTGGTACCTGTCCCCCAACTAGAGCTACTGACGGATCCTCAACTGTTGCTCTGATAGGTGCTCTAGTCGCGGCACGTGCCCTTCTCCGACCTCTACCTCGGGCCCGGCCTCTTACAGCCCTAGCAGTATGTGCGGATGCCTGCTCAGCTAACCCGGTAGCACGTGTCCTCACCATCTGTGAGAGAATAGAGATACAAAGGCTCAAATTTCTAATTCAACAAATTCCGCACGACATGAATGAAAGAAGTAAAAATTTCCTAACAGTTCCGTAGCCTCTCGAAGATAAGTACAGATGTCTCCGTACCGATCCGCAAGACTCTACTAGACTCGTTCGTGACTCGTAGAACCTATGAACCTAGAGATCTGATATCAACTTGTCATGATCCAAAATCCCACCACAGGCGGCGTGATGGTACCTAGTCTCTAAGACTAGGTAAGCTGATTTCAATTATATTTTGAAGCCATTTTTTTTAAAATTAAATAAGTAACCAAAACTAAACAGCGGAACAAATATGAATATACAACCTCTCAAGACTGGTAGTACTGAGCCACAAACTCTAAATGAATACATGGAATGATCACCAGGACCGAATATACAATACTGTTTGATTACAAATTAACAGTACAATGAAATAAAAAGACCCCAAGGGACTGCGACGGCCAAGTAGCTCTACCTTGAATCCTTACGATCCCGCTTTAACTATGCTCCAGTCCGATATCACCAATATCTGGCTCTGCACAAAAATATACAGAAGTGTAGTATGAGTACACCACGGTTGGTAAAGGGGTAAGAATCAAGACTAACCTCAGTGGACTAGAGACGAGGTATAGTCAAGACACTCACTAGTCTAATAACCTATGCAATGTAATATATAAAATAATAGGAAATAAATAACAATAAGGGCAACATAAAAAAAATCAGTGATGTGCACAGTAAGACAATAAAATCACCATTAATATCGCTTAACAATTGATAAATATAATTATACCCAGTTAAATCATGTTCTTCAATTAAATATCTTTCACACATAATTCTTACGAATAAAACTCTTTTTCAAATATAATTTCCTCAAATAAACGTCTTTCGAATATAAAATTCTTTCAATAAATCTCTTCAAATATAATTCTTTCATATAATTATTTTTGAATAAAAATCCTTTCAAATAAATATTTTGAATATAATTCTTTCAATTGAAAAGTCACCATGTAACACCTCATTTCAAAATCATAAAAATACGAGACTCAGCCTATTTTCATATTTTTCGTAAATACGGGTCTCAGCCCATTTTCATATTTTCACGGTACTTCGTGCCCAAAATTAAATCATCTTATTTCTCCGGCACCTCGTGCTCACTTTTCATATCACAGCTGTACGGACAGTTCACGTGCCAATTTTATTATCATTAAATCACAGCACCTCATGCCCACATTTCATATCACAACTGCACATACAATTCACGTGCCAATATCTTCATTATTTACTCACGGCACCTCTGCCCACATTTTATTTTATAATCCGTCTGGCAATAGTCACAGGCTCTCAATTTCAACATAAATCAGATTGTTATCAATTTACTAACAACAAGACAAATTGCACAAGGTATAAAAATAAACACAAGAAAATCACAACATCACATAAAAATTACCAACACCCCAACTCTACGTCATCACATATCGTCCCAGAAAATTGCCACCCTTATCGCTCTTATTACCACCCTTATCGCTACTATAGACACCCGTATCGCTCCGCCCAGACAGTATCAATAGCCACCCTTATCGCTCATATTGCCACCCTTATCGCTCCTATAGCCGCCCTTATTGCTCCGCCCAGACAATATTCCAATAAGTACAACAACAGTGAAATGCCACCCTTATACCCACATAATATCAACGGTGAAATGCCACCCTTATCTCCTAATAATAATAACTCAGACAACAGAATAATTTACACGGCAAATTATCACGGCAACATAACAAAATCAATTCACATTACAGTTTGCCCAATGGCCACAACCTAAGTTCCACAGATCCAACCAAATCAATTAATTTCACAATAAATAGCCGAAGACTTCACACAATGTGTATAACACCACAAAAACAATCAACAGAGATAGAAATTATTCAGCATAAAGCAAAGCATTCATTAATCTAAATTTAGGTAATTATATTAGCTCATCTTCTTAAGCTTGCTTAATTAATTATTTGCATAGAGAAAATTCATAATGAAAATTAAATTCCAAGAATATCAACCATCGAACTCACGAAATTTACATAAATGTACAAGTAATAATTACATCAAATTGTCATATAAAAACAAATTCAATAAATGTGATTTGAGGCATGGCAAATAGATAATTAAATATATACCAACAATTATCCAATTTACTACACAATATTCCCAAGACTTTAACTCAATAAATTTGCACATATAAACCCGAGTATGTACTCGTCACCTCGCGTACTCGGCTTTTCACATATTACAAATGGCACATAAGACTCGATGCCTAAGGAGTAATTTCCCCACTCGAGGTTAAGCAAGATACTTACCTTTTTGAAGTTAGGCTGATATTCCAAAATAGTCTTCTTGCTTGAATTGACCTTCGGACAACTCAAATCTATTCAAATTAATTGTACAACTTCATTAACATTCATCAAAAATAATTCCGGATAATAATACGTTGACTTAAAATTTTATTTCAAAAAGTCAAAAAAAGTCAACGCGGGGCTTGCTCCTCGTAACCCGGCATAATTTTCATGAAATCCGAATGCCCATTCCGATACGAGTTCAACCGTATCAATTTTATCGAATTCTAATAACAATTCGACCTCCAAATCTTAAATTTTCTTTTTTGGAAGATTTTACAAAAATCTTGATTTTCCTCCATTTAATTCCGAATTAAATGATGGCTTCAAAGGCATAATCATGGAAATTAATCAAAACTGGATAAAACTCACTTACCCCAAACACCCGCGCAAGAATCTCTCCAAAAATCGCCTTCTACCGAGCTCCCAATTTGATTTTGTGTTATGAACTCAAACCCGGACTTTTATTTTTGGGACTTTTAATTCTGCCCAGATAGGCCTTCTTCGCGTTCGCGACCTCTGTCTCGCGTTCGCGAAGGCCAAAAACTCAGCTGCCTCAAATTCTTCTTCGTGTTCGCGTTACCAACGTCGCGTTCATGATGGCCTGCCCATGCATAGCATCGCATTCACGTTCAAGATCTGGCGTTCGCGATGCCCTCAAGTCCTACTGCTTCGCGTTCGCGGTTGAAGCTTCGCATTCGCGAAGGCTAATGACTCCACGCCCAGTCCCCTCCTTCCTTCTACGCTTTCGCGACTGGCCCCTCGTGTTCACGCAAGTTCTTCAGACATACCTTCGCGTTCGCGAGCCCTCCTTCGCGTTCGTGAAGGCCAAATCCCAGCATCCTCAAAACTCCTCTTCGCGAACGCGAGACACTCTTCGCGTTCGCGAAGAAGGAAACCAGATACCAGATACAGCAGTTCCGAAACAGCTCGAAATGACCCGAAACCACCCCGAAACATAACATAAACTTGCTTGAGACCTCAAATCACATCAAACAATATCGAAATCATGAATCGGACCCCAATTCAAACTTAATGAACTTTAAAATTTCAACTTCTACAATCGGTGCCAAAACCTATCAAATTACGTTCGATTGTCCTCAAATTTTGCACACAAGTCATAATTGGCATTACGGACCTACTCCAACTTCCGAAAATGGATTCCGACCCCGATATCAAAAAGTCCACTTCCGGTCCAAATCTCAAAAAATTCGACTTTCGCCATTTCATGCCTAAATAAGCTACAGACCTCAGATTCACAGTCCGGACACCCTCCTAAGTCCAAAATCACCCAACGGAGCTAACGGAACCGATGGAACTCCATTCCGTAGTCGTCTTCACACAGTTCCGACTACAGTAAAAATCCTAAGACTTAAGCTTCCGTTTTAGGGACTAAGTATCCCAAATCACTCTGAATCATCCGGTAACTGAATTCAACCACGCACGCAAGTCAATACACATAATACGAAGCTGCGCAGGGCCTTATGCCGCCGAACGGGACTTAAATTCTTAAAACGACCGACAGAGTCGTTACAATATAATACCCAAATTTTCAAAATTTAGCTTGGTAATTACTCAAAAGTTTTAAAAGGGAACTAAAATGTATTAAATTTAAAAGCCAAGACCTTTTTTATTGATTGACGCCCCAATTCATGGTCTTTCCCAATTCTTTATCTTGTCCGCTAGTCTGCTAATATCTCCCAGAAGCAACGAATATTCAATTTATTTTTTACAAATACAAAGAGAACAACATTCTCCTTCATAGCAGCCAGTTTAAAGTTCAAATTGAAGGTTAGTCATCATTTTTGTTCCTCCATGTAGAAAACTTTATTCTTTTCGACTTAAGCTACTTGAGCTTCTAAGTAGCGTATAATAGATTGTTTTGAGTAATTTTTTGTGGGGATGAAGCACATATATATATATTCACATATTTATAGTTTTTTTATTTTTATGCAATTTTACCTGTTTATAAATATTTACTGTAATTATATTATTTTATACAATATTAAACATTAAATACCTATGGGGCTTACGCCTCGCTGAGGCATATGTAAAATGCCTCGCTTTATGCCCACGCCTTTTAAAACACTGATTAAAACAGAAACTCCTATACGAGACAAATCATGTCCAAGAATTATATCAATAGCGTAGGCCATTTTATTTTCTAAAAACCCCATGTGCATTTAAATAAATCTTCTCTCTTATTTACTTTCTACGAAATAACGCAAGGGAATCCACACAGTCATACATATCTTCAACAGAAAATGTCCACTGAAAAAAGTAAAAGGCTTTTACTGTAGAATCTTTTCTTCATTATGTAATATATGACTACTTTTTTTAGTCAATGAGAGGTGCATCATATGAATGATTAATAAGTGTATCAGTGGAGAGGGAGTGAGAGTAAGAGAGAATAATTGGGTACCACAAATAATGTTAGATCACTACCGCCAGTTATATTCCACACAATTCCAGTAGCCCTCTCTATGCCAATGTCCAGTAAAGGAGATTGAATGGCCTTCAATGCTGCATCTCTGGCTCTGGTCTTTCCTAGAACGTCAACGAACAATATCATTTCTCTTCTTGACTAGTTAATACCAGCATCAACAGATCAATCCATATCAAAAACATATCTTGCTAGCAGAAATAACCTCACTAGTAAATACAACTATATGGGAGATACACAAAATGCGTATAGCTTCAACTTTCCGCAGGAGGAAAAGCCAGATGTAAGAAAGTTTCCTGCTAGAAATGGACCATCAATCACTATTATTAGCAAGCTATGCTTAAAAAACAAACAGAAAGAAAGCTTAAATCTGCACCAAATAGCATCCAATAATAGGAGGAAACTCATATAAACATGTCAGATGTGTTCAGTTCCAATAACTTTTATTTTTTCGTTTTACCTAATGGGAACATCACTAGATGAAAATCTAAAATTAGGACAAAAATCCAAAATGCAACCATTGAAAGAAGCAACAACAACCTAAACAAAATTGGGATGAAAATCTAAAAGAAACAGCAACAATCGAAACGAAATTGGGAGATAAAAGAAAAATTACCTATCCCTCGGGCTGGTCGTCGCTAGGGAGCAGAGGAAGAGAGAGACGATGGCTGGCCGGAAGGAGGAAGAGAGAGACGATGGCTGGTCGGAAGGAGGAACAGAGAGACGACGACTGAGGGATGGTCGCCGTTAGAGGGAGGAGAAGAGAAAGAAAGGGAAAAAGAAAAATTGACTAAGGTTAGGGTTTCTTTATTGTATTTCTGCTAATTGTCCAACGTGCAGGTTTTATTCAAGCTAATAAATCAATTACTTATAAGTATTATTATATAAAATATCAAATTGACATTTAATTAAATTCTAACTAACAAATTACTATGAATCAATGAAAATCAAACTAGTATTTTACAAAAACCTAACATATAATTGTATAATATAATTCTGCTTAGTGTAATATTTCACAAAATTTCATTAATACAATTCTCAAATTTAGTTTGTGTAATTTTCAATGAATTAGCTAATTAATTATTAATATTAATTAACGATGCCACTAATATATTTATACTTACTTTAGTTATCAATATAAAATAATTAAATAATCACTAAGATTTACCATTCATAAACTTCTACTTATTGTATAATTAACAATGTATAGGCTAGTAAATCACTAACATTACTTAAGGATATATCCTTAATACGTACACTTCTACTTAGTGTAATTATCAATATCTATAAGCTAATTGTAACTATTACACTTATATACTTAATGTAATTATCAATGAATTGCGTAATAAAATTATTAATATTAATTAACGATACTGCTAATATATTTTTACTTACTTTAGTTGTCAATTTAAGATAATTAAACAATCACCAACATTTGTCATGTATACCATTAATAAACTTCTACCTAGTGTGTAACATTACTTAAGGATATATTCGTAGTATACTTCTACTTAGTGTAATTATCAATCTATAAGCTAATTATAACTATTACACTTCTACTTAGTGTAATTATCAATATATAGGCTAATCATTTATTAACATTACTTAACGACACCACTAATAATCCTCTACTTACTTTAATTATAAAACTAAAGATAAACAATCACAAACAATAGCATTAATACACTTCCATTTAATGTATAGGCTAATCAATCACTAACGTTACTTATATAAGGATGTCACTAGTTCACTAATACTTAGTGCTATTATCAATGTATATAGGCTAATCAATCACCAACATTACTTATAGATATATTATTAATACACTTATACTTCGTGTAATTATCAATCTACAAGCTAAATACAACTAATACACTTTTGCTTAGTATATTATCAATATGTATGATAATCAATTGTTAACGTTACTTAAGGACACCGTTAATACACTTCTACTTGCAGTAATTATCAATTTATAAGATAAATCATCACTAGCATTTCTTACGGAAACGACTAATACACTTCTTCTTAATGTGTAATTATTAATGTATAGGTTAATCAATGTAGTTAATGATACTACAAATTCACTTTTACTTTGTGTAATTATAAATTACTAAGCTAATTACCACTAATATATTTTTAAGTAGTGTAATTGCCATGAATACAGTTCCACTTCGTGTAAATTTCAATAAATAGGCTATTCAACCGCCAAGATAATTAAGTAAATACTTACCGAGGGACTTACCGACAGCCTCCCTCGCTATTGTGTAATAAAAATATAAAATAATTATGTATAAGATTATATATTTAAATTACCGACGGAAGTCCATCGGTATTGTAAGAATGAAATTCAAAATATTATATAAATGCAATAGCGATTGAGTACGTCGATAACTTTATTTTCTTTTTTATTTATTTTTTTTAAATGCACCGAGAGACACCTTCGGTACCTAAAAAAATAATTCAAAAATATAAATAAAAAATGTTGCGAGAGAGTCTGTCAGTAAATTACCGACGGAATGCATCGGTACAACCAATTAAATTTTGACCGGTCAAAGTATCATTATTTACCAAGAGTTGTCCGTCGGTTATTTTTAAAAAAAATTAGAAATTAAAAAGTTCAAAAGTACCGAGGGACTCTGACGGAAAGTCCCTCGGAATAGCGACAGAAAAAAGTCTGTCGGTACTACTGCGTCGGTAAACATGTATTTTTTAGTAGTGGAAGATGCATTTTGGAGGGAGCCAAATGATGACATTGGCTCCTTTAGTGGATTAGTTGATATTGACGTTGGATGGCCAAGAGATGATGTACCCGTTGATGTCGTTGATATTCCATCTAATATACAACATTCACATGATACAATTATAGAAACATCTAAAGAGGAGGATGCGTTTGATGATAATGATTGGGTCTGGATGGAATAAGATGATTAAAGAAAACTTCTGAAATGATTTTAAATATATTATGTTTTGAGTGAGTTATAATATTTTTTATGAATATTTTATAATTACTCTTGTTTATATCTTTTTAATAATATTTTATTTGTTTTTCCTTCAGCATTTTACTGACATGCACTGACATGCTTCAATTTTGCAGGATTTGGGATCTTGTGATATTTTTACAGTTATTGATGAGGTTAATATACGTCTTACTAAGTAATTGTTGATTACAACCATTCGAGGCTTGAATTGATAGAGAATTGAGGTACTGATAATACTTTCTCTTAACTAGTAAAACTATAGAATAAGTTTTATAACACTTGTCATGTTAAATTCTTGTCGTTCTTTTACTTTCTGTTGATACATTACGTCTTTCTTTTATTTTGTATATCAAAAACCTGCTAATGATTTACTTAGCCATTTGATATTGCCTTGAAAATATGAAATTCTTGCTGAAATGAAGTAGCAGAATTTGTAGTGATTTTTGTATCATTTTGCTGAGAATATGAGGCAGCATTTACTTTCTGGAAATTTACTTTCTATTTAGTATAGTTATGTAAATGTTTATATATTTGGTCTTCCTGTTAAAGCTTTACTAACCAATATTTTACTCATTTTTTGAACTTAGCAGGAATTTAAATAGTCTGAATCAGGAAGCGCACTCAAGTAAAAATAAAAAAGTTAAAAACTGCATTGTGGCTCAAGTAAAAATAAAAAAGTTAAAAACTGCATTGTGGCTGGATAACTTGCATCTTTGCGAAACCAAAAGGTTTCGTCGTTGAAAACAAAAATAACTGTTCAAGGTTCAAGGTCAAATGACAAGCATCAGCTAAATCTAGTTGACAAACAGCTTCCACAATTAGGAGCTCAAGTGCAAGAACAGTTGTTGCAACTGCCTATGCGTTCTACTTCTCCTCCAACACAAACAGTACATGAGGAAGCACAACAACTGCCACCACACTCTACCTCTCTTGTATCATAAGCAGTGCGTGAAAATTTGCAGCAACTGCCACTGGATTCTACCACTCGTGCTTCACAAACGATACAAAAACAATTTGAGGATTCTACCAATCATGAAACAAACGAACAATCTGAGGAACAAGGCAAGAATATAAAGATTTCAATCGACAAATCAACTAACAATAGTGACTTTTGGTGATTATCCTTGCTTTATATTATTGCAGGTCCTTCTGCCGAAAAAAGAAAAAGAGGCAAAACTCAGATGCCAGGCGTGCATGGAAGGAAAGAACGTAAACAAGTTGTGTTAAATGAGACCAATCAACCCATAGGTCCTACTGACGAAGTTGTAAAAGAGTTGGGTAGCTTCATCGGCACATTGGCAAGGAGTGCGATATTTTGTCCTCTTAATGTATTTAATTGGGGGAAACTTGAAACAAAAGAAGATATATGGAAATACATCAAGGTTTGAAGTTCGCAATATTCAATAGGCGTGGATGATATTTCATATTTTTTACACTAATCTAACTGCACCAAATTTGTAGGAAAAATATGACATTCCTGAAGCTACGGAAGTATGGGTTCTTGAATCAATCCAGAATGCTTGGAGAAAGTATAAGAATAAGTTAATGGAAGAACATTTTAAACCCTATGAAAATGACGAGTTTTGAATGGAGAAAAGGCCGATTGATGTTCCGGAGTCTCAATTTAGGGAACTTCTTAAATATTGGAATTCTGATACCTACAAGGTAAAACTGAATATCTTTCGATGATTTGCTGAAAATGTCTGATTTTCATTTAATTATGAATCATCTTGTTAGGTAAAATCTATTTGACTTTGCAATAATAAAAGTATTCTTCATGTTTATTTTTCTTTAAAGTGCCAGCACTAGATAAAGGCTTTCCATGCTACAATTTCATTCATTATCAATCTGTTTGTCACAACAGTGTTCACAAAGTCATTTTATGGTAGTGAAATATCCAATAGCATTGGCCTAGAAAATGCTGGTCAATAACTTCAGGAAAAGTATGGTGGAGGAGTGTTCCCCATCCTTTATATTTGGGCTATTGGATTGTTGTCTGTTCAAATCCCTTTTGCCCTGATCCCCCTTCTTAGTCTTGTTCAAATCCCTAAAGGTATGTTCTTTTCTTCAAAAGTTTTGCTCAAGTGAACTGCTTTTACAGGTCAGCATTAGATCTATTTCTTATTCTTTTTGCCTTGAATTTGGAGTTTATCCACAAAAATGTGAAACATCATTTCATTAAAGTCATCATTTTTATAACAGGTGGGTATCAATAACTTATACCATACCCACTTTTATAAAACCAACCATTGAAGGGTAATAACTTTATTTATCTTCTTTTGTAGGTGAAGCAAATGAAGAAAATGGAGATGGAGACAGTGAAGATCTAGACCTTACTTAAAGAATTTTGAATTGTTGTAGATGTTTAGGAATCTTTTGTAATCAACATTTGAAACTTACTCTAACTCTTGAAGTCTTGAACTTTAAAACTTATGCGCTTGGGTTATTTAGAACATTTTGCTTTTATGGATATTATTAGCTTATTGGACAGTATAAATTATGAATATTTTTATTTTGTGATTTATATAAATTTCACTTTATTAAAAATTATTTATGCATGTGAATATTTATTTAAAGCGCCAGGGCCATATTATTGTGTCAATTAAACTGTTACAATAGCCTACTAGAACAATTGCAATAAGATACCAGTACAATTTTTATAGACAATGTAAACCGTTCCAACAGGTCCTGCAAATTGTTCTAAAATCGAACGATAAACAGTTGCATTAGGATGTTCAAACCGTTGCAATAGAAAATAAAACTGTTACAATAGCATGATAAAACTTTTTGAATATCTCTTAGTCATCGTGGCAATAGCTTACAGAACTGTTGCAGTAAATTATATGGTAACGGTTTTCAACCGTTGCAGTAAATAATATGGTAACAGTTTTAAACTGTTGCATTAAATATATGGCAACGGTTTTCAACCGTTGCAGTAGAAAAGAATACTCGTTGCTTCAGACAGAGGAAGAACCGTTGCGATAACTAGTACTACAGCAACGATATGGTGAACCGTTCCTCTAGCTCTATTGGCACGCGGCCTGGTGGAACGGTTGTTGTACCGTTCCAATAAATCTATGGGAATGGTTTCCATATACCTGGCAATGGTTTTCTGACCGTTGCCATAGGCCTATTTACCAGTAGTGCCATGCGGCGCGCCTGTGCAAGTTTTATAGAGTTATTGTCCCAGTTCGCGCAGGGTAAGGTGTTTTCGTCTGGTGTCAGACCATACTTAGTATAAATACATGTAAAAATGTTATTTTACGGACTTTTGACATATCTTAGACCTAAGTAAGCCAAGGAAGAGAGGGAGAAGCTAAAGCTCAAGGATTTCATCATTCAATCTTCACTCAAGACAAGGGTTTGGATTGTTTTATGTTTTCCTTTAAACATTGTTATGATGAATTACTCCATATCTATGGAGTAGTCCTCTTTAGGGTTGATGGATTTGGTGTCTTGATACTTGTTTGTGGATAATTAACTCTAGTTTTTATGTATGAATAGTTTTGGATGTTTTAACTGTTGCATCTAAATTCACTTGTTCGTGTAATCGAGAGAGGCATAACTTGTGATATTGTTGCATTATATTTTATTGGTTGAAGTCATTAATTCTTTTTAGTAATCGGAAGAGGCTAGTTGAATTGTTGATTACACTTAGTGTCACGACCCGGAATTTCCACCGTCAGGACCGTGATGGCGCCTAACATTTCCCTTGCTAGGCAAGCCAACGATACAGACTATTAATCCAAATTCTTATACATTTCAATAATTAACAGTAAATAAGCTATAACGAGTTAACATGATAGAGGAAGTTCATAACAGCCTCAATATATATTCTACTACCCGGATCTGGAGTCACAATTCACGAACTTCTAAGATTTCACTACAAGTAAATGTCTGAAGGAAATGCAACTGTTTTCGATACAAATAAAACAGTAAATGAAATGCATAGAAGGGGATGCCAGGGCCTGCAGACGTCAACAGGACTACCTTGGGTCTCCAACAGATCAAGCCAGCAGCTAAACTCAGGGTCAACTCGGTCCGGTACCAAAATATGCACAGAAAGTGCAGAGTATAATATCAGTACAACCGACCCCATGTACTGGTAAGTGTCGAGTCTAACTTCGGCGAAGTAGTGACGAGGCTAGGACAAGACACCTACAAATAAACCTGTGCAATATATATCAATATATACAACAATAACAATAACTAAAGAAGCAAGGCAAGAAATATTAGGAAGGGGGCACGCTGAGGGGATTACATGGCAAGGAATCACAGCTGGAATGAGAACATGATCAATCGATATATCTTTAATAGAAAGAAACAAGTAAACACAGTAAAGGAGAGTGCACGACATCTGTCACGACCCCAAAACCTAACGTGTCGTGATGGCACCTATCGGTGGTACTAGGCAAGCCGACCTTCCCAAAAATACTTCCAAACTAAATATAAAAGTAAAGTAAAGATTTCCATATCAGGAATTTTTCATAAAATCAAAGTTAAACTCAAATTTGGAACAAAGTGCGGAAAACGAGCCCCAAATATCGGGGTGTCACCAAGTCATGAGCGTCTAAATATTTAAAACTATTACAGCCAATGTCTAAATATCAGTACAAAACGGGAAGAAATGTGGAAGGAGTAACAAGGTCCTGCGGATGCTGGCAGCTACCTTGCAGTCTCCGAAACTAAAATAGGCCTGGACTCACCAATCTCCATGCTCAGACACACCTGGATCTGCACATGTAGTGTATGGTGTAGTATGAGTACAACTAAGTCAGCAAGTAACAGAAATAAATAAGGAATTGAGAAGTAGTGATGAGCTATACAGAACAATTCAGTTGATAATTCTCACAGTTAAGAGTAAACATGAGTAAAAGATCAGTTGCATAATTACCAATTCCAGCCAGACAATTATCAGCTAAATGCAGCAACAAAGTGAAATAGATGAAACCTCACAGACACTGTCACTCAATCCCATAATAACTCGACACTCAACTCTCAGACCTCAATGCACAGGCTAAATAGGTACCTGCACTCACTGGGGTGTTCAGACTCTGGAGGGGCTCCTACAGCCCAAGAACTATAATCCGCACGGATAACTTACGTCACGGACAACTCATGTGCTTTAGTATCAATATCTGGATCCGTACGGACAACTCACGTGCTGCACGGACAACTCATGTGCTATAGTATAATATCTGGATCCGCACGGATAACTCACGTGCTGCACGGACAACTCACGTGCTATAGCATAATATCTCACAAACAGGCCCTCGGCCTTACTCAGTCATGAACCTCTCTAGTCTCATAGCTCTCAATAAAGAAAGGGAAAACAACCCAAATCAAAGTGTTACAGTATATCATACGAGAAAATAAAAGAGACTGAGGTAAACATGTACAAGAATCACTATGACTGAATATAACTACCATGAGCAGGAATATGGCCTAAGCATGATTTCTAACATGAAAGGCAGTCGAGTTCTAGTAGACAGGAATGCATATAAACACAAATAAAGGCTATTAGACTTCACAGTCTCCCGGGACGGACCAAGTCTCAATCCCTCATGGCGTACACCCACATGCCCGTAACCTAGCATGGGTGCCACCTCTAAACAGTCACATTATACCAAACTCCAGGTTTCATACCCTCAAGACCAGATTTAAAACTATTACTTACCTCAACCGTGTAGAACTCCTACTCCGGAATGCTCTTTCCTCTCGAACCAGCCTCCAAATGACCTGAATCTAGCCACGAGCAATAAAATACTATCAATATGAGCTAAAAGAATGAATCCCACAAGGAAAATACCAATTTATAAGCCAAATCCCGAAATTCACTCAAACCCGGCCCCCGGGCCCACGTCTCGAAATCTGACAAAAGTCACAAAACCCGAAAGTCCATTCACTCACGAGTCTACCCATACTAAATTTATCAAGATCCGACATCATTTGGTCCCTCAAATTCTCAAATTACACTCTCCAAAATCCCAAGCCCTAACCCCTATTTTCACTCCTAAAGCCCACTAACTAGATGAGAAAATAACGGGAAAACACCATAGCTAGGAGAATTAGAGCTCAAGCAACTTACCTCTGTGAAAACCCTTGAATCCCCTTCAAAATTCACTCCAAAAGCTCCAAGGCCCGACTTGAAAATGGTGAAAATAAACAAAAAATCGCGAAGTTTTCTATCTATAGGTTCTGCCCAGGTTTTTCGCACCTGCGGCTCAAAATGCGCACCTGCGGAGCCGCTTTTGTGCACAAATATCTGCATCTGCGGAAAATCACTTAAGTGCCTATCTCTGCACCTGCGTTCCCTATCCGCTTCTGCGACCTCGCAGGTGCGGAAAAGACCTCGCACCTGCGGCCACTGCCAGTCCTCCTCACTTTCGCATCTGCGACTCAACCTCGCATCTGCGGGCTCGCAGATGTGACCAATCTTACACACCTGCAGTTCCAGCCTAGGTCCTCTATGTTTGCATATGCGGCTCACCAAGCACACCAGCGACCTCACACCTGCGGCTCCCCCTCCGCAGGTGCGGAAAAATACCAGCAGGAGCAGTTCAACTGCATTTCCAAATTCCAAACCTCTCGTTAGCCATCCGGAATCACCCCGAGCCCCTCGGGAGCTCTATCAAACATACCAACAAGTCATATATCAGTATACGAACTTAGTCGAGCCTTCGAATCACTCAAAACAACATCAAAATACCAAATTACCCTCGGATTCAAGCCTAAGAACTTCTAAACTTCCAAATTCCGCAAAAGATGCCGATACCTACCAAACCACGTCCGAATGACCTCATATTTTACACACACATCAAAAATGACACCAAGAACCTACTCCAACTTCCGAAAATCCATTCCGACCTCGATATCAAATTTTTCACTGCCGACCGAAATCATCAAGTTTCCAACTTTCGCCAATTCAAGCCTAATTCCACTATGGACCTCCAAATCACATTCCGAACGTTCTCCTAAGTTCAAAATCACCTAATGAAGCTAATGGAACCATCAGAATTCAAACCCGAGACCGTTTACACATAAGTCAATATCCAGTTGACTTTTTCAACTTAAGGTTCTAAATAAGAGACTAAGTACCTCAATTCACTCCGGACCCGAACCAACTAACCCGATATATCATAATATAGCTGAAAAGCAAAAAAGGAAGCAGAAATGGGGAAAACGGGGCTATAACTCTCGAAATGACCTGCCGGGTCATTACATCCTCCCCCTCTTAAACAAATATTCGTCCTCGAATGAGTCTAGAAACATACCTAGAGTCTCAAATAGGTGTGAATATCTGCTCCGCATCTCCCGCTCGGTCTCCCAGGTGGCCTCCTCCACAAGCTAACCTCTCCATTGCACCTTCACCGAAGCTATGTCCTTTGACCTCAACCTCTGAACCTGCCGATCAAAAATGACCATCGGCTC